CTCCCCCCCCCTCGCCAGGCAATATCGATCGCCGGGCGGTCACATCTCGCTACGCGCTCGAATTGGACAGTGGGCAGGGCAAAGACGACGATTTTCGATAATTTTTTTCTCGTTAACTATTGCGAAAATTGCAAAATGTTTCAGGACTGTTCTGTTCATCTCGATCCGTTCTACCTTCTCACGAGCTCGTGGACAAATGTTATAACTCACCCTGTATGTCAAGCCCAAGGTTATTGGAGGTGGGTGTGTTAATCTAAATAATTACCATTTTCAGTACTAAATATTATTAGAACCCGTGTGCTTTATTATCATTTCATGTATCCATAAAATCTTTTAAAATTAAGGTAGCATCTAGATTAAAAAGAAATTTTTCAACATCTATTTTTTCTTGTATTTTTAATGGAAGTACGTTTGTACTATTATATATAATGCGAGTAAAACAGTTATTATTTAAGAAAACACTATATGTATATTAATGTTTACATTGAGAAATTTGCTTCTATCAAAGTAAGTTAAATTAAAAAGTGGTGATAAATATAAAAAAACAAAGCTTCCTCTATGAGGAAGCAATATAACAATATTTCGAAACATTTACTGAGAAATAAGTTCAAAACTAATAGAAAATCAACATTTTAAATAAAAAATAGAAGTAAACTCGGTCGTGATGGTCGTGATTATTGTGAGATATTTGATGTAAAAATATAAAGTTTTTCTATATTAAAACTGTGTAAAATATAAAAACATTATAACTAAACGTTTACCAATATACTTACATTTATTATCAAAAAACCATAGAAACCGAATAGAATACCGAAATATAAAAATAATACCATCAATATTATGTTGAATATATCTTCAATATGATGAATAGCTCTATAAAAAAACTTTGTGTAACAATTACAATGCTGAATAGAATATTGATCTGAAAGATATCACAATATACATATAAAGATATACCTAAATAGCCGGATGTGTTCTGTCACACAATTCTTTAAAACGTCATTGTAATTCGCGACATTATGTAAATGCATAAGACGATTTCTCAGAATGTCCAACTGTCCGGAGATATGAAATACCGAGAGACTAAGAAAATTGTCAACGCCTGTATAACACATAGTATTGAGGAATATGGTAATACTTTGAATAGTGAATGTTAGTTCATATTGTGGACTTTTAGTTGTGTCGTAGATATAATATGTCTGAAGTGGTAATGGTCTCTCCAGATCAGTGATATTAGACAGGTATCTCACCGAGTAGCCAAATATGGGTAAAACAACTACAACAACCCAGGTCATTCCCATAAAGCTGTACGCACATATTATGATAATGCGCGCAATTTGCGCTCTTGCGATCATAGTTGTTTTTTTCTGTCGTGTTTTCGCCTTTAACCAATCGTGAGCGATCATATTTATTATTGTTGCGACTGCTATAAAAACATGGCAACGAAGAAGATTAATGAGAGTATAGATTTATTTTGTTGTTTAAAAATGTACTATAATTTAAGATATTTAACTCTGTTTCTGAATAGTGCATATAGAAAGTTTAGTTAGGTTAAAATATAAGATCTATGAAAATATTTTAAATCCTTTAATAACTAAGTTGTAACTGTATTTACCTTTTCTCTTCCACCAGAAGATTGCAAATTTTAGGACGCATGTGAGGGCTGGTAAAGTAAACTGCAAGTTATCTGTCAGTAATATAATGTCTAAATGGATTCTTATCATGGAATGTATTGCAGGAATTGCAACAACGAATAACATCATTAAGAAGACGAGAAGTACATGTACATTGCGCATACGTTTTTCCCATGTTGTTTGTTCGGAGTTAGGCCAAAGTCCAATTACTATAAGACTATATCGATTTAATTTCACTGCCCATTCGAAATCTATTTTTTACAAAAATTTTGCTACATATAACATTTTTTAAAATATGGATAAATACCGCTTGATATTAATCGTAATTAAGTAAGAAACATGTACTAATTAAATTAACTTTAAAAATATGATAGTCATAACATTGTGGAACAATATATTTATTTCAGCAGGGTTTTGTAGAATATGTTTAGGATCTCACACATAAAAGAAATGAAATATACAAATTTAATATTACTTATTTATCACATAAGCACTATTGCACGTAAAATGCAATAATGTATTTACAATTTAATAAAAGAAATAGCATATTTATTGTAATGACGTAATTACAAACAATTTTGGTAATTATGCATAAAAGCGACTTCCTCTCCGATTTGTTTTATTTTTAAATATGTTGTTGGGGATGTCTTCCCGAGTCATTTCATATATATATATAAGGGGGGGACTCAAATAGCTTCGGAGATACAGGCTGAAAAAGGTTACAAATAATAATATAGGTTTGTAATATTTCACGTATACCGTGATTC